GAGTCGGGTTCCCGCGCTCGGAGCAGATCGTGAGTACGAGGGCTGCGAGGCGAGCGAATGCAGCGGGAGACAGCGGGGTGCAGTTGGACTCGCGCCCTCTGGAGTGCTCGTCCGAAGACGACAAGTGTCTCCTTCTTCCGATCTAGAGGCGCGAGCCCAGCCGGTCAAGCACGATGCAAAAGTGGCCTCGCTCGGTAAAGGTGCGGTGGAGGCGGCAGATGGGGACGGCGCTGTCGGAAGGCAGCCGCGCCTGCACCTCGCGCAGGATGTCGGCCTCCACCTGCGCCTCGTCGCGGTACTTGCTCACCGCGCGCACCACCTTGACCGCACAGAGCGCGCCGCTGCCACGCTCGCTCATCTCGACGACGCGGCCAAACGTCCCCTTGCCGAGCTCGCGCACGACCTCGAGCTGGCCGCCGTCGAAGCGGTCGCCCACCCGCACCATGTAGTGGTTCTCCGCCCGCTCCTCCGCCGCGGCCGAGTCGTCGCGAGCCGAGGAGCCGCCGGGCGAGCGGGCCCACTCGCTCGCCGGCCCGCGCTTGGAGCGATCCTGCGACTGGCCCCGCGCCGGCGGGCTCCTTTTGCGACGGTTGCCGCGGTGGTTCCGGTCCCGCGACATTTGAAAGCGGCGCGGCGGCACGACGACGACGACAGAGAGCGGCCCGTTTTTGAAAAGATTTTTTCGGTATTATGTTAGCTCCCCGGCCGTTCTCCCATCCCTCCCTTGGGTTGTCTGTTTTCTTTCTTTCTTTTCCCGGCCCTGGATGTGAGCTCCAAGTGCTCCAGGATTTCAAAGAGAACGACGGGAGGATCCTATTAAAATCCCTGTGTGGTGGCGGCGTGCCGTCCTCCCATCCCTCCCTTGGGTTTTAGCTATTGTTGGCAAAACCTCCCTTGGGTTGTCCGTTTTCTTTCTTTCTACGGGAGGATCCTCCTCCCCCATCCCTCGTTTGGGTTTGTCTGTTTTCTTTGGGAGTGGGACGAATGAAGGTTGCAGCGAGAATCGGCGAGGGACTGCGAAGAGAGATAGGAAGGAAGGGGCAGACGCCCAAGGCGCAAGGGTGGGCGACGGCTAGCACCACCACAACACTCCTCTCCTTAAAATCCCTGTGTGGTGGCGGCGTGCCCTCCTCCCATCCCTCCCTTGGGCTGTCTGTTTTCTTTCTTTCTTGGCACAGAAAAGAATTCTGTCGCACAAGAGAGAAGAGAAGAGGGGGGGGGGGCGAGAGAGAGAGAGATAGAGGCCATCTGCGCACGTGGCGGGCGGGAGCGGCGGGATGGCTGCTGTCGATTATCACCAGCCATGCTCCGGAAGATGGCTGCAATCGCTGTGCTCCAGCCATAGTAGATGGCTGCAATGGCTGTGCCCCAGCCATCTTACCCAAAATGACTGCGATATAGCCAGCTTCTCAGCCATGTCCCATGAGGGCCCGCCCCGAAGCGTGCGGTGTGGCTGCAGCAGCGAGCTTCCAGCCATCCCCGCTCGAGGCGTGCCTGCTCACTCCCGAGGAGATGGCGAAGGGGGAGATGAGCTGGCTTCTGCTGCACGACCCATGGCCCGGCTCGTATGCAGACCCTGACGCAGGGCGCCAAGCGGGTCGGCTCTTTGATGGCGTGCTCGTCGCTTTGCTCGTCCTCGTTCGTCGGCGCGTGCTCGTCGCTTGGCTGCCAAAGTATTGAGGACGGGGCGGATGTGACTAGAGCGTGTAGAGGCAATCCCCCCTCACCCCCGCGCGGCCGATGAGTGGTGGTGGTAACTCGAACGTCTTGATGATGATGTCAATAGAAAAAGAATTCAACAAAGAGACAACTCTCTCGCACAGCACACAGGTTCGACACAGGTACCAAAAGAGGCGCACAGCCGGAAAAAGAAGAAACTCCAAAACTCTCCTTGCCAACGCTGTATGCCGGTCGCCTCGTTCGATCGCCGAGTTGTGAGCAAATCGAGGCACGCTCGATGTGGTAACTCAAAAAAAGAATTTTAGAAGCTCTCAAACCCCTTTTTTAATTTGGCATCCCATCCCTCCTTTACGTAGTGTTTTCTTTCTTTCTTACCACCCAAGACTGCTTTCAGACGCTTACGCCAATTTCCCCTCAACCTGCGCAAATCGTGCAACTCGCGGACCCGAGGAGTCTGGAGCTTCAGCTGGCGAATCATGCCGCTCTCGGCACAGAAGCAGCGCGAGCGCCGCGCCGCGCAGCGCGCTGCCGAGGCTCAGGACGCGGCTCGCGGGCAGCGCAACCGCCCGGCGCCGAGCCGGTGCTAGGCCGCCTCCGCTGCGCCTGCTTCCTTGCGCGCCGCTGGACGTCGGCCGAGAAGACCGCTTCCCTCTGGGGACCCGACTCCGCGAAGATCGCGCGCGCGTCGTGAGTGGCGGCGCGCGCGCGATCTCCGTTCCCGGGCACGCCGGTCGCAGTGGCATGGGCTCCCAGGCTCAAAAGCAATCCCGTCAACAGCGAGCGAGCGCTGCCCGCTGCTCCTCCTCCCGCCGCCGCTCACCGAGACTCGGTGCCGCCGTTCTCGCCGCCGCCGCCGCCGCCGCCGCCGCCGCCGCCGCCTCGCGCCTCGCCTCCGTCACCGCCGCCCTCCATCTCGCAGCGGCGCGTCCCTCTCTGATATGGCGCGGGCGCCTCGCTCACCGGCGCCTCGCCGCCGCCCCCCCCCCTTCTCGCGCCGCTCCGCTCGTGGCCGCCGCCTCCCCTGTCAATCCCGCCGCCTCCCCTGTCATCCCGCCGCCCGCACCACCACCCCGCCACCGCCTCGCGCCTCGCCGCCGCCGCCACCGACCGCCCTCCCGCCTGCGCCGCTGAGCGCGGTGCAGGGGGCGAGCCCCCGCTGCGCAGCCTCACCGCAGTGCACTGCGCTCTCCGCGCCCCTGACGATTAGTGAGGAGGTGGTGTTGCACAGCATGGAGCTCGGCGAGCGTTTAGCGAGCCCCTCAGCTAGAGTGAAATGCTCCCGCGTGAGTATGTTTGCCGCAGGCTGGCCAGATCGGACGCGTGGAGGGAGTCTAGGATGGGGAGAGAGGGAGGGGTAGAGGATTGGTTGGTGAACAGTCTGTCTGTGTCTAGGTTAGAGAGCAAAAGGGATAGAGGGAAGAAGGGAGGGAGGGGCGTTCCGTTCTAAATTGATGAGAGGACTAGCACTTCACCGCCCGCACACTGCCGCCCATCCCTCCAAACGGGCTTCTTGGGTGGAAAGAGATGCCACCGGCGGCTTGTCCGGGTACTCAAAACGGTCTGGTCTACTCGAGTACCTTGCCTTCAGCTGGGTGTGCGGCATCGCCGCTCCCCGCCATGCTCTCGGCCGTTTTCGTATCGGCTGCCGCTAGCGGAGAGGGCGCGGTCCGCGCCCTCTCCGCCAGGGCCGCTGGCGGAGCAAGCGCGGTCCACCGCTCCCTCTCCGCCAGCGCCGACGGCAGGCTATGGATCGCAGACTCGATACTTGACGGCCTCACCCATCACCTGCGCCCGATCGTCGCCGATGCTGTGTGCGAGGCTCCGCTGCACCACTTCTATGCCAACACCGTCCATGTAGAGCGGAGCTTCGACATCAGTGTCCACCAGCTGGGCGTGACGGGCTGCGACGTTGCAGCCTTCACCCTGCGCTGCGCACAGGGAGGAGGCATCCTCGCCACCATCGGCGGCCTGAAGGCTGCGGCCGCAGGCCGCGTACGGGTCACCCAGCAGTCATGGCCGCACGCCGACTTTGAGGCCGACTTTGCGGCTCAGATGCTAGAGACAGGCATCTCAGTGCTTTTCGACGTGTTCGTCACGCCGGAAGGCAAGGCCGCTCTGCACGTGCGCGAGGCGCATGCCGACATTTCGCTCAAAGAGATTGCGCTCGAGAATGTCCGCGGCCTCAACACGCTGTCCATGCTGCTGACCTACCTCGTCCGGCAGGCAACGGGTCTGTTCACCGAGAAGCGCATCCAAAAGCACACCTCCAACCTCACCCACGTCCTCGACCACTCCTTCCCGCACCTGCCTGTCGGACGCCTCGCAGAGTGGCTCGGCCTCGGCCACGGCGGCGCCGCGCTCGGCTTGCGGCTCGGCAGCACCCTCTATGCCCCGCCAACCTGGCGGGTCGATGCGACGTGGCTCTTGAGCGAGGATCCTGGGAGGGCAGCACAGGCTGCGGCCTCCTCTTATTCCGCGGCCAACACCACCACCGCCGCCTCCGCCGCCGCCCTCATCGCCCCCACCGCCGCCTCCTCTGCTGCAACCGCCTTGCCCACCTTGCCGCCGCCCCGCCACCGCAAAGCGCACGTCGTTGGCGCCCTCTCCCTGGCCGGCGGGCTCGAGTCGCTGGCAGGCTCGCTCGAACAGCTTGGCGAGGGCGCCTCCGGCGTGCGCGCGCTGCTCGGCTGCCTGCACATGCACAAGGACAAGGCCGAGGACTCGAGCCGCTTCGCGTGTGCGCTGGACGTGGCGGCGGCGCCGCTCGACGCGCTCGCCGCCGCCGTGTCGCGGGTCGAGGAGCGGTCGGGCGTGGTGCGGGCGGCAGCCTCGCGGCTCTGGGACGCTCTCGAGGCGACGTTCGCCGGGGAGGATGCGGCGGACGGACCCAAGGAGATGGAGGACCGTGAGGCGGCCCTCGGCGTGCACGCCTGCCTCGCGGCGGCACGGGGAGGGGCGAGCAGCCCTGCCGCGGGAGAAGGGGGTGCTTCGGCCCCGCCCTTCTCGTCCACGCTGCGCTGCGTGCTCCACGCGAGGCCCGCGGCGCCGCTCCTCCACCACCTCGAGGCGCTGCTGCTGCCACCCCCGCCGGCGCTCAAAGGCGGCGCGGCGACGGCGGGCGCTCACGACGGAGGACGCGACCTTCTATCTGGATGGAGCGGCGTCGCGGCAGAGCTCGCCGAGGTGACCGGGCTGCTGAGCGCCGCCGCCGCCGTCCGCGCGTCGCCGCTGTGGCCGGAGGGCGTGGTCGTCGATGTGGACGACGGCCGCCTCTGGGTGTCCGCCAACCTCAGCTTCCGGCCCGGCCGCACGGTCGAGGGGGAGGTTGCGGCGTTCGGGGCGCTGCTCGGCGCCGAGAACTGACGACGCTAGGTGGTGGCTTCGCCGCTCTCGCTCTCGCCCGCAGCCATTCCGCCCGCAAACGCCACAGCGGGAAGGAGTCTCTATTGTCGCGCGTGAAGCAGTGAGCAGAAATGTTGAGCGCATGCACATCAGACTCAGCCACATGTCTGCCAGCGCAGCAACTACTCCTGGTACGGCGCGGCTACTGTATGGCCCATGTCCATGTATGGTGTGCTAGCACCTGTTGATTAATTAATTAAATAAATAAATAAAACGGACACCTCTACTAGGAGATGGGTAAAAAGGAACAGGTCCCCGCCCTGCGGTCTTTGTGCAGGGTTCTTTGTGGGTGTGGTCGGCGACTAGCCGGGGTCGTCCTCCCGATGGGGGACTAGCACTAGCCGTCTTCCACATGGTCCCTCGGGTCCCTGCTGCTCCTAATCTCTTCGTACATCCTCCTGCTGATCTCCGCAACGTCCTGCTCCCTCCCTCGTCTCGCCCTGCGCGACTGCTCCGCCTCACCGTCGTCTGCCCTGCGTCGTCTGGCGACTGGTCCTCCATAGTCGGTTGAGGTTGCCGCCCAGCGCCCTCCTCGTGCCTCTTCCCAACGTTCCCTCGGCGGTCGATGCCGTCTGGTCCGCCTCCGCCGTCCCCGGGTCTGCCCTGCCCTCGTCTGCACTAGCTTCTGTTTCGTCATCACTGGCGCCTCTCCTCTTCTTTCTCCTCTTCTTGTATGCTTTGTACATCGCGTCGATTCCTTTTCGCGTGAGCACCACCCTGAAGCTCGCCCAGCAGCGGAACCGCTCCCTAAGTCGAAGGAGCATCATCAGTCTCACCCACTTCGCTCGCTGCCCACTGTCTCCGCTCCCTCCCGCTTGAGCTGCCGTCGCGGTCCTCGTTCGTCCCAAGCCCCCCAAAGGGGAACCGCGCCGGCTCCTGTGAATCAAAAAAGAATTTTACAACCCCAGTCCCGTGCCCAGTGTCGTGCAAAAAAGGATTTTACGACTTCTCCCTGTTGACAACCGCCCTGTCTCTTTTCTCCCAGTAAGCTAAAAGTACAGTAGGCTCAAAAAGTAGGCGCGGGCCGGGGGCACGACGCACGTCCTCCAAAAGAGAGCACCGTCCATGTCGACCGAGCTCGAGCGCCTTCTCCGCCGCTGGCCGCAGGGCATCAGTTTCCTTGAGGTGGATGAGGCGGATGAGGCGGATGAGGCGGAGGACAAGGCGGATGATGCCACCGCTGTCCTGGAATACGTCTATCAGCGCGTGAGAAAGATCATCCGTGCTGCCGATCAACGCGGCCTTGCAGACGCCGAGGCGCGCAACCGCAGCCTTGGAAAGAACTTTGAGCTCCGCGGTGCACACGAGATCGTCCAAGCCATGGGCTTCAGGCTTCAGGGGGAAGGGCTTGATCGTCTCGACATGGAGTACGTGCTGTCCTCCGAAGTACCCCTCCACGACCTGCGGCGCAGCTGCGATGTGCTGCGCCATGCACTCAAAACGAGGTGGGACCCACCCGCGCCCTGCGGCGGGCGCTACTCGACGCGCCTCGCCATGCTGTCCCACGAACAGCTGGTCACGCTTCTCGCCACCGCCGCGACGGGCGACTCCGCCACTCGCGCCAGCGTCGACGACGCCATTCTCAGCACGTGTCCATCATCGGTGACGTGGGCGGAACTCCCCGACGTGGCGGTCAGCCGCATCGCCGTCATGCTGGAAGGACGCCGAGGCCTGCTCTGGTGCACCGTCTGCCGCAACTTCCGCGCAGCACAGCCGCCCGTGCGCGCGCTCACCATCGGCGTCAGCCACGAAGTGGGGCTGCTCCCCCCGGCGGAGGAGGGCGATGGCCTCGTCATCCGCTTCCGGAACGACGGCCTTCTCGCGCACAAAATCATCGAGTCGGTCGCGGCGCGCCACGCCAGCGAGCTGCGCCGCCTCTCCTTCGTAACCCTCGTGCACTCGCCGGATGAGCCGCTACGCCGCCACCCAGAGCGCCGCCACGGCGCGCACCTCACGGGACTGCGGCAGCTGGAGATCGTCCACGCGTCGGCGGGATATTCTGGGCCGTACCCGCGGGAGGGTACCAACACGCTGGGGCGCTGCGCCACCGAGCTGATTGGCTCCGTTGGTGGCACGCTGCACGAGCTCTCCGTCCGTGCGACCACGAAACTGCGCGTGCACGACCTGGTTCCGGCGCTGCCGCAGCTGGGCCCGAACTTGCGCAAACTGCACGTCGACCTGATCCCGTTCACTCCATTTCGCGCATTTGGTAGCGGAAAGCGCGAGGACACGGAGTGGCTGCGCGCCGCGGCGCGGATGCACTGCCCGCAGTTAGACGCTCCGGTGCTGGTCGCACACCGCGACCCCCAGCCGCACTGATCGCGAGGGCGCCGCGGAGGCGGCGGCGTGGCGGCGGAAATGACGGATCGCCTGCCGCGCTGCCGCGGCATGGCCGTTCCGCGCCTGCGTGGGGCGTTCCTCTCTCTCGTCGTGCGACCGCCGCTGGCCGCGTCCGCCCGTCCGCTCGTCGCGCCCGCGCGCGCCACGGCGCCACCCGCGTGCGCCCAACTCCTACGCGACGCTGTGTCGAGCCCTCTTCGGTCTGGTGTGGCCATGCGTCGTGCGCATGCGCATGCGCCGCTTGGCACGTTTTAGTCGTTTTGCCGGCTCTGGTGCCCGTCCGCTTGGCTCGCTGCGTGTGCGTGTGGCGGTGTGGGTGCGCGCCCGGGCCGAGCGATTTTGATCTCTCGGTCAGTGGGCGCCCGCCCGCCGCCTCTGAGAGGGTCGGTCCCCCTCTCGACACCAGGGCTCAGACCGTGATAACGTGTGCAGAGCAGAAGAGAGTAATCTACACAACGAGACCACAAGATGCAAGAGGCACTGAGGGATCATTGGCCGCACATGGACGCTTCATGCAGCACGCAAATTTGGAGGTGCCCTGTTGCCACCCCCACTCTGAGCACTTGCCGCAATCGTACTGCACGTACGACGCGACGCGTTGGCGCCATTGCGCAGGGCGCGAAGCGCGCCGACACCTTTGCGAGCATCGAGTTGTACACGCGGTGCACCTGCGGGTACGGTCGGGATGGAGGATGGAGGGGACTACTCGGGCGGCAAAGGTGCACACGCATGGGCCGAGGCGTGAGAGGCGGGGTGTGGGGGAGCGCGCACACCGAGGATGGTCGCGTCGGGCAGCGTGCGCGCCTCGTGCGTAAGTCGACCCAGAAGCGGTTGTGTCGCCACGGGCGCAGCGCGTAGAAGGCGGTGGGCAGCTGCTGCCTCACGCTCTCCTCGTAGACGAGCGCGCCGACGAGCGGGTCCTCGGCGGTCTATGGATGCTTTGGCAGGCTGGGCCACAACGACATGCAAGACCAGCTGCTGCCCAAGAAGATCGAGGCTTTTGCTGGCCAGCGCGTCGTCGCTGTGTCTGCTGGAGTTGTCGGCGGCGCACCTCAGTGAGGAGGAGTCGCGTCAAGGGCGACTTCAAACTGGAACAGCCGCTGCAGCTCGAGAGGGAGGCGCCGCGCGAAGGCCTCGTCGATCGCGGTGCTCTGTTCCTCCGACATCTCCTCGCGCCAGCCACCGGCCACGCCCCTGCGAAAGTGCCCCCTCCGGCCGGTCTGGTTGTTGTGCGTCGCCTTCATCGCATCGAAGCGGCTCCCCGCCACCACCCTACGCAACGAAGAGGCGCACTCTCAAGAGCAGTGGCCCGCTGGAGCAAACTATAGTGTGCAAGGCTGACTGACTGGCCTGCTCAGACGTTGCTCGTCGACGGGCGCCACACCAAGGAATTGTGCGATGCGGAGTATCTGCGTGCCGGGCGACTTTAGCATCTCCTCGTAGTGCACCCACAAGACGCTGGCCGGGCGCCTCTGTGAAAGATCCCACCACTCGGTCACAAACTCGAACCAGTCGCCGGAGCCGACACCACCGCGCATGAAGATGTCAAAGAAGTCCGGCCACTCGCCTTCGGCAAACTGAAAGGCGTCCTTGTTGCGCGCGTGGTGATAAAACGATACTGCAGTGTCTTTGGGGTTGCGGACGACGAAAATGGTCTTGGCTCCGTCCGCATAGGGCATGGCACCGTCCTCGCCAGGAATGCTCGGGAAAATGCGGAGCGGAGAGTGCGTCTTGAGGATGCGACGGGAGGGTAGAGCGTCGAGCCACTCCCGCGTGCGCGGCTCGAAGGTCTGCGAGAGGCGGCGTCCTGGCAGAAGGCATTCCAGCTGGCGTAGCCCCCTCCCCAGCGGAGCCAGGCGACGATGACTTGTCCAGTGCATCGGTGTCGTCCTTGGGCTCGGTGTTGCTACCAAGCCTGCCCAACGTGGTGTGGTGGGGATCGGAGTGGTCTGACCGTGTGGAATGGTCCTGGTCTCGGCCCTCTGTAGTATCGTGAGGCGTCCCTCTTCTCTCGCTCGAGAGATGGTCATCTGAACCCGAATCTTCGGTGTCCAGCAAGTGGAGTTCAAGTCGTACGCGGTTCCGCGGTTTGGTCGCGGGAGATAGACTGCCCGCAGTGCCGCGGGCTTCCTCATCCGAGGAAGACATATTTATAGAGAGTACTCAAAGTACGAAGGCGTGGTTATACACCGGTGGGGGAGTGGCGCAATTATGCACCGAGTTGTGACACCACAACAGCAAAGAGGTCGACTGTCTCGCAGCGCGTGCCGCCCAGCGAAAGCAGTCAGAGACTCGAAGCGCGCTCGTGCTGGTGTTCTCGGGAAATGAGCGAACGGCCGGCAATCCCCGGCCGGCAAGGCGCTTTTTGTGCGAGTTCAGCAATGAATGAATAAGATCGAGGTGGGGTGCTACTCGAGTACGGCTTTAGTTACAAGTTAGATGCCCGCTGAGGCGTATACGCGGTACGGTCGGTATAGGTAGTGAGCTCTTTTGGTCTTGCGCGGTTGTGCTTCTGCTTGTGATTGATTGATCGCTCACCCGAAGCAGCCGAATGCGTTGATTGACACCTTCGGTGTGTGTCGCGCGCAACTCTTAGAGCAGGCGGACATCGCTTCCAGGGAGGGGGGCGCACTTCTCTCCACGCCCCACCCCCCCCCTAGCATGTGGTGAAGCCTCTGGGGGGGTCGGGACCCCCCCCCCCAGCATGTGGTGAAGCCTCTGGGGGGGTCGGGACCCCCCCCCCTAGCATGTGTTGGGCACCCCCCAGCGGTTCGTAGGCTAGGAATAGCCGCCAGAGAGCCGATTTTGCCCCCAAAGTTGTGAAATCGTGGCTGAAAGTCCAATATCTTGGGGAATCTGACCAGTCTCAAGGCTCATGTAGCTCCAAAGGATGATTTTCCTCTCGAAAATGCTGCGAAATGAGGCGCAAAATCAAGGGCCCGGAGGGCCTGACCACGAGTCTCTGGGGGGGTCCTCGGCCACGACCCCCCCCCCCCCAGCGTGCTGGGGGGGGCGGGACCCCCCCCCTAGCATGTGGTGAATGCCTCAACTGATTTACCCTGTGCCTAGAAGTAGAATTTAAACAACACAACTCTCTCTCACAGCACACAGGCTCGACACAGGTAGAAGTATTTGGATGGCGATGGGTCAGAGTAGTCAGAGACCCTATATAAAGACTCTTAGCCTAATAAAGACTTCTATAGCCACCTCATACGTCATAGGGTGCCCTGAGCGGCTGTGGGTGTGGCCTCTGCACAAGATTTCGCACCATATGATTGCATGGAAAAAAGTGTATGGTGCATGGTTGCCGAGATTTTCATTCTCGAGGGCATTCTCGCGATAGATTACACCGGCTGGGGCTCGCCTATCGCCTAACTAGAAGCCGAGGGGCTGAGAGTCTGCTCCTCACTGGTGGCCCAGCTTGCGCTATCCACCACTAGTCGTGTGGAGTGCACGAGGTGCTCGCTGGTGCGAGTCGCAGGCGAGCCCTGCAGACCCAGGCTTGCGCCACCGGCCGGTACATCATCATCTCGCCTTGCCTCTACAGCAAGGCGACCCAGGGCGCACTCCGTGCCGTCACCGTCGGCGCCACCTCCTCCCACGCGTTCGTAGACGGGTCGAATCGTTCTACCCTGTTGACTGGGCCGTCCTCCTCTTCCTCGTCCTCCTCCTCCCTCTCGCCGCCCACAGCGAACAGCTTGCCGTCGAGCACCGCCACGCCGACAGCAGCCCGCGACGCCGCCATCGACGCCACCGCCTCCCACGCGTTCGTTGTCGGATCATACCGCTCCACCGAGCTGAGGTAGCCGCCGTAGCACCCACCCACGGCATACAGCTTGCCGTCGAGCACCGCCAAGCCGAAAGCGCTCCTCGCCGACGCCATCGGCGCCACCTGCTCCCACGTATCCAAGGCCGGGTCGTACCGCTCGACTGAGCTGAGGGCGCCGCCGTCGTAGCACCCACCCACAGCGTACAGCTTGCCGTCGAGCACCGCCAAGCCGACACCGCTCCTCGCCGACGCCATCCGCGCCACCTGCTCCCACGTATCCAAGGCCGGGTCGTACCGCTCGACTGAGCTGAGGGCGCCGCCGTCGTACCCGCCCACGGCATACAGCTTGCCGTCGAGCACCTCCACAGCGTGATCGTACCGCTCCTCCGCCATCGGCGCCACAGACTCCCATGCTTTCGAAGTCAAGTCGTACCGCTCCACCTGGTTGGAAGGTGCGCGGTCAGCCTCATTCAGGCCGCCCGCCGCGTACAGCTTGCCATCGAGCACCGTTGTGCCAGCACCCTTGCGTGCCGTCGGCATTGGCACCATGGCCTCCTCCTCCCACGCATTCGTTGACGGGTCGTACCGCTCCATCGAGCTGAAGAGGCATCCACTGTTGTCTTCGCCGCCGATCACGAGCAGGCGCGGCCTCTCGCGCTTCTTCAGCGTCTCCTTCCAGCCGCGGCGCCACGCGCGGCACGTCCCCTTGGCGGCGTGCTCCTTGGTCGGCAGCTGGGCGAGGATGTGCGGGGCGAGGTCCGGCGAGAGGAGGACCTCGGAGAGCACCCACTCGGGCTGCTCCACGAGCCGAGCGGCGTGCTCCTCCGCCACGCGCAGCGCGGCGGCGCTCGCGCCCGCCTGCGCCTCGATGATGGCGCACAGCTGCGCTGGCGAGAGGCCCGCGACGCGCGCGCCGATGCGGTGGGAGGCCATCGGCGCGTCAGCGGCGCGCGGGCGGCGGCGCAGCGTGCAACTTCGCCGGCAGTGCAGAGGCCAACCAGTTCTGACAACCGCACGCGGCTTGCAGGGGGGGCGTGGTCCTGCAGTACCCGTACTCGTAGAGCCTAGTGCGGACGGTTTTTTTGCGGTATTTATATTAAATGAACTCGGGGGCACAGGACGCGGTACAAACGGGGTACACCAAAAGGCACAGGCTGCCTGCACGGCGTTCACTCGAACGCCATGCACATGGCGCGGAGCAGCATCGGGTTGGTGTCGAACCCGAGCGGGTCCTCCTCCCAGTCCCGGTGCCCACCCTCCGCGTCATCCTGCTCATCGTGCGCGTCGAGCACCCTGCCGAGGCACAGGACCGTCCCCTTGGGAACGCCTGCCCCTCGCGCGCGCGGGAAAACTTCTCGCGCGCCCACTTGCCGCCACGGCGGCAGTGCTGGGGCGCGCGCTCGCGCAGCTCCTCGTAGAGCTCCTCGGCCCTCGCCACCTCCGCCGCCCAGCCCTCCGCTGACGCCTGAGCCGCCTTCTTCTCCCTGAGCGTCTTGAACACCGGCGGCGGCGCCGGCGATGGCGCCACCTCCGGCTCGCCCGCCGCCTCTGCAGCGCGCCGCCCCTTCCTCGCCTTCTCCTTGAGCCGCTTCCTAGCGCTCTTGGTCAACGCCGGCGCCGCCGCCGTGGCCTCGCCGGCCGCCGCACCGGCGATGGATGTCGAGGATGATGAAGGTGATGAAGCCGTTGTCGCGTTGCAAGCGGGGCGGAGAGTGTCGAAAAAAGAAGTGACCCTGTCCGTTGTGCCAGCGCAGCCTGGCGCAGACGCCAGGCCGCGCAGGGGCGCGGCCAATGCCGCAGCCTCCCCGCTGCCCGTTTCGGGCTCCTCCTCCTTCGCCGCCTCAGCCACCTCTGCCGCCGCCTCCGCCGCCGCGCGAGCCGCCGCCGCGCGAGCCGCCGCGCGAGCCGCCGCCGCGCGAACCGAATCGCGAGCCAAGATCTTGAACTCCCTCTCGCGAGCCGCCGCGCAGACTTCCGCCCAGGAGCGCACGTCCCGGCAGCAGCGCACGTCCCGGACATCGCCACCATCCCGGCCGCGACGCGCCTCGATGTCCTCATACGCCCGCACTGTCGCCATCGCCGACGCCAGCAGCCGAATCGCTGCCCCATCGAGGAGGCAGGGTTCGTCGTATCCGGCGGGCCAGATTGTGGCGTATCCGTGGGCGCATATCACGCCGCAAGGCCCGACACTCAAAGGGTCAGGAGGCCGGTAGGCATGGATGAAGGCCGCTGATGAAGATGATGAAGCCGTTGTCGCGCTGCAGGCGGGGCGGAGAGTGTCGGAAAAAGAAGTGACCCTGTCCGTTGTGCCAGCGCAGCCTGGCGCAGACGCCAGGCCGCGCAGGGGCGCGGCCAATGCCGCAGCCTCCCCGCTGCCCGTTTCGGGCTCCTCCTCCTCCATCTCCGCCTCCGCCGCTGCCTCTGCTGCTGCACGGCCCTCAGCAGCTGCCTGGCGCCTGTACTCCTCGAACACGGCCACCTCTCGCCGCACCGGGCACACCTGCCGGTAGGCCGCCGCCGCCGCAGCCCACTCCTCCTCATCCTCCCTCGCAGCGTCGATCGTCCCATCGCCGCTCGTCGGCAGCGCGGGCACCAAGGGGTCCAAACTGGACACCTCGGTCCCACCTCCGATTCCACCCTCTGCGGCCTGCGCATCACAGGCGCCGCTGTCCGCCTCTTGGGGGCGCGCGCCGCCGCGGCCCTCGCCGCCGGCCGCCGCCCCGCCGCCGTGCTCCTCGCTAGCGGAGCGCGTCCCATCTCCGCCGCGGGGGCCGCTAAGCCCGGCTGCGGCAATCGCATGCAATGCGGCATGCACGGCACCCTCGGCAGCGCCTGTACCGACGCCGCCGCCCGCGCGCTCGCCCGCAGTACCATCGCCGCCGGCCACCGCGCTGCTGCCCGCCTCGAGCGGCGCCGCGACGCTGCCAACATCCTGGGCCAGCAGCTGCGGCACCACCTTATCTGAGATGGGCGCAGAAACTTGCGCCCGCTCGAGGAGGGCCGCGATATCCTCGTCGGGAGCGATGGTCGGCCGCGAGGCCGCCATCACGGTGGTGCCCGGCCGCGTGGGCCGGGCTGCGGTCCGGCGCTCGCTGGTGGCGGTGAGAGCGAGCAGAGAGCGGGCGCGCGAACGTTTCGCGCGCTTGGTTCCAGCCGTTTTTTGCGGTATCTTGATGTATCTCTCCAATATCTGACCGTATCTCCCCGTATCTCCTCACAATTTCCCGTATCTCCCCGTATCTGCCCGTATCATCTGCCCGTATCTCGTATCTCCTGGTATCTCCCGGTATCTCCCGGTATCTCCCGGTATCCCGCCATATCCCGCCATATCCCGCCATATCCCGCCATATCCCGCCATATCCCGCCACGGATACCGCGAAAAAACCCGTCCACACCCCAGGGATTCCTGCAGTGGTACTCCAAGTCCTCCTCCTCGGTGGCGAGTTTTTTTTGTGAGTGTCCTGGCCGTAAGCGCTCTATTCACGGGCGGGAGGGACGGAGTTCCTCGTGAGGCCCCACGGCCTGCCACGCGTGCAACTGCGCATTCCAGTTTGCCTTCGGACGGGCCCTCCAGGCAAGGCGGGCGGGCGGTACTCGCTGCTCCCCGAGTGGCCCGAGGGCACGCACGAGGCCTCGAAGGGCTGGCGGCTCGAGGGGGGAGGATCGGAGGAAGGTGGACTGGAAGGGGGAGAAGGTGGACTGGCGCTGGATCACGTGCCCGTCGTTGGCATCGAGGCGGGCCAAGTCTATCTGGTCGCCTCGCTCGTTGTGGACGTCGACGTGCGCACGTATCATGTGTCCCAGGATACGTGGCACGCGGCGCGGTGCGGCGGCGTCACAAATCCGACCACAGAGCACCGGGACGCGGTCGGGCGATCTAAGGCCCAGTGAGGCGTATGCATTGCCCATCCAGGGCTATCACCTGGACCTATCAACAGGCGCCTGCGGCGCCGTGCTCAGCCTCAGGAGCTGCTGCTCCAACCTGTTCACATAAACGCACAACCCCGGGCCCGAAATCGGGGGATGCCCCGCGCGCCTGACCCAGGCGCGAAAACGAATCTGCGAGGCGTGGCCGCTCATGCGGCCCGATGGGGAGGAGCGGGGCGGACTACGGGGATCGGCTTCTTACACAGCCCTTCCCTGCAGCGAGCCCCCCTCCAACCCACCTGCGCTAGATCTCGGGGGGCGCAGGGGTCACACCCGACGACCTCGGGAACTAGCCGGGGCAGTCGGAGAAGGGGCAACTCCGTGCACTGACTGACGGTCGGCCGTCAGAAAACACGCCTCCGTGGCTCGCGTTACACCAATCCTCGCTACCCAACGCGGCCAAAGGATATCCACCTCTAGAACCTCGAGAAATCGCACAGAACCTGTTCACACTTCCGCACGGCACACAGAACAAGGCCATCCTCGGCCTCCGGAGGGCCCCCGGCCGCGGCGCAACCTGTTCACAATTGTTCACAATTCTGTTCACAATTCCGCACGGCACAGAAGGCTGACACAGCCGCTGCAGGCCGAGCGCGATGGACGCGCACGTTTCGCTCCCGCCGCATGTCGGCCCGGCACACAGGTACTCCAAGGGCACGTGCGGCCCAATCATCCTCCTGCTGCGCCACATGGGCAGCTCGGCCCTCCTGCGCGCACTCCCGTGGGCGGCGATTGCCGCAGGGTACACAGTGACGCTGCACACCCAGGCGAGTCGCCCGACGTGTGCCTCCGCCGCGCCAGACCATGACTGTCGCAGCCAACAACACTGCGCATTTGCCCGCAGGTCGCCTGCAACTCGTGGCCTTCGTTTTGCGGAAACGGGCACCCGGAGTGGACTGCCGACACAGCGGAGTTCCTCTTCGTCCACACCTATTCATACCACGCCATCCTGCTCGCCTCGGGCTTCGGCCTCGTCTTTCGGCTCAATCAGTCGCTCGGTCGCTACTGGGAGTCTCGCTCCGCTGCGCAGAACATGGCCGCAAAGTGGTGCGATGTCCTCTCGATGGCGCTCGCCTTTGACGAGCTACCCGACGCGACCGGCTGCCAGGAGCGCGAGTGCGCGCCGTTCGCGCGCTGCGTGACGCACCTCTGCTCGCTACTGCACGCCGTCGCGCTGCACACGCTGCGCGGCGACCTCACCCTCGGCACTCTTTCCCCGTATGCCGCGCCGCTCAGCCCGCAGCGCCGCGGCGTCCGCGCCCTGTTTTGCGGCGGCCGCGACGCGCTTCGCCGCGAGAGAGCCGCCGCCGCCTTCTCCGCCCGCAATCCGATCGCCGTGCTCGGAGGCGTGACCGCCGCCGAGCGCGCGCGGCTCGCCGCCTCGGCGGAGCGGGTGCACGTGGTGATTGGCTGGCTGACGAGGCTGCTCGTCCGCCGGCGAAAGAGCGGCGGCCTCTCCGAGGCGGAGGCGGCCTTTCCGAGAAGCGTCCACAGGGACGTGCCTTCGGCAAGTCCTTGTAGGCGGCCTCTCCGAGGCGGAGCCGCCCGTGGTGTCGCGCATCTACCAGGTCCTCTCGGATGGCACCTTTTGGTACCTCTCGGCGCTCAAGGTTGCCGACACGCCCTTCCCCATCCTCGTCGCGCAGCTCAACGCGGCGAGCTGCCGCAATCCCCCTCCCCCCACCCCGCGCCGGCGGGGGCAGTTCCACGACATGTCCGCGGCATGTACCCCGTAGGCGACCTGCTACGTCAACCTCGCGCTGCTGCCGGTGATCGTCGCTGACAAGGTCGCCTCCGTCGCCCTCGGCGCCGTCATCTCCTTCTTCGGCGTCGGCTTCCTCTTCAGCCTCAACGAGGTTGCGAGAGAGCTCGAGGACCCGTTCTCCTCCGAGCTCGGCGTGTGGATGGGGATCAACCGGCTGCACGTGCCGCTCATGCAGCGCCACTTCGACGAGCGCTGCCTCGCCCTCGGCGCCTGCGGTGTGGGCGAGCTCACCGACCTCCTCCTCGCAGACGCCGACGCCGAGGGCGAGGAGCAGCTGTACGCAGACTTCCTCGCCGACGCGATCGGGCCGAGCGAGGAGGGCAGAGCTGCCAGAAAGGCGGCGCCGCGGGAGGGCGGCAGCGCGCCCGTGTGAGGAGTGCGTCGAGGAGTGCGTCGGGTGAGGCTAGCTGCAAGGGATGAGGCGTGTGTGGACTGTGATCTCTGGTGTGCGCGCCGTCCACTTAGAAAAAAAATTGCGTTTTACCCTGCGAAAGACACTACTCTCCCCCTCCCGTCACTCGTCCCCCTTGGCGTGGCGCGCCTCTCCCCCAGCTCTCGGTATCGCGTACTGCACGAGGCTACCGTGGGCCCCGCCTGCGCGCTGGGGGTTCCCTGCCCTGTCGGGAAGCCTAGCTCTGAACCTGGGGTCGCTACCTAATGCGGGGCTCCTGGACGGGCGATGAAGTTCGCCTTGAATCTCTCGTCTCGCTTTCCCCCCGACTCGCGTCCGTCGGGGGTACTCCCTGCTCGGGCTTTTTGATTTCCCCCCCGCCCCCCCCCCCCCTCCTTCCCTCTCCGGGATGAGAAGCGCGCTGCTGTCCCTAGAGGGGGGTCGGGTGGTGAGGGAATTGATTAGGCCTCATGTTGTCCGCGGTCGCCCACGGACGATCGCCGGAGTGGGCCGAAGGACAGAGGCTTGCCTGTGTGGGGGCGCGCGGGCGCCCACTCAGGCTCGGCCTCCGTTGTCTCAGCCTTCAGTTCACCTCTCCTAGCGCCCGGTTTTGCGTGGCGACCTTCATTTCGGGGTCGAAGGTGCTACACACACTTGCCCCCTGGTGGTCTGGCACTCGGCGTTATACCTACTGGGGTTAGGCTGTTTTTCTTTTATTTTCTGAATTTCGGGGGGGGGGGGGGAAGTGGGTCCCCGCGGTGTTTTTTCTTTCCTGTCAGTTTTCTTCTATAAAGATCTTGGCATAAAAGAGGCCGTTTGTATCGTATTACAAAATCTTTGTTTTCGTTTTTTGTTTTCTTTTTGATTTTGTGTCAAAGAAATAGCAAGAACATAATACACTGCGCACAGTACTGCGTGCGGCATGCGCGGGCTCGACGTGAGGCAGGCGACTGTCGCGGGGTGCGGGCTGCATCGCCGGTGCGGGGACTGCGCGGCGTGCACATGTACCTTGGGTTCCTTGCATGTGCTCTGTGCTGCGTGCAGGCAGACTGGACAGCAAACTGAACGGATGGCGGAGCGCGCGCGCAGCGTGCCACGCGCGCGCCTCGTGCAGTGCAGGATCTGCGTCGTGCAGGCGCGAGGCGGCAGGGGCGCAGCGGAGCACGCGGGCTGAATGGTTCAGAACAGGCAGGGCTGCTGTGCAGTCTGCATGCAGACTGCACAGCAGCCCTGCTCGGGTAACGGAGAGCGTGCTCGGTGGCCTGCGCGCGCGGCGCGCGCGCCTCGCGGTGAAGCGTCTTGCCGGTCGCGTCGCGCTCCGGTGCGGTATGGTGCCTGAAGAAGGTGCAGGCGCTTGTGCAATGGGCGCAGATTGCAGTGAGAGGTGCACTGCGGCGCGCGCGTCGCCGCGTGAGTGGTCGTGCGCCTGGCTCTGGTGGTGCGAGAGGCGCGTGGCTGGTGCGGGCGGCTCGGGACAGCCATGGGGTGCCAGCACAGAGCAGACGCACATGGCACAGCTCTGAAATGGCGCTGCGCGTGTTTGCGTGCGCGCGGGGACGTACGTGCAGTTTTTTCACGCGGTGTGCGTGGAGAGGGTCATGCAGGGCGCCGGCAGCGCGTGGCTCGGCGTGTGGGAGTGTTGGGGTGCCCGTAGGCGCGTGGGGAAGGTGCCCGATGGCTTTTTGTGGCTTTTTGAACGGCTTTTTTGGATTCTCCCGCCCTCCCACCCATCTCTTGGATTTTTTCTCTTTTTACAACGTATGTTGCTCTTACCCGAAGATTTTTGAGCTAGCCTTTGATGGTAGGAGACACCCCAAGCACATGGCACATCGCTCTCGGGCCGACAGACATCCCGCACACCCGCCAAAAGTCAACCCTGCAGCCACGCGCCGAGCAAGACACGCAGGCCGAGACGTCACCACTCACACATGGGCGACCTCCCTCACACATCTGCTCTGTGGAGTGGCGTCGGTGCGGGAGAGAGCGCCGAGAGCCGAACCAGAGCCAGCGAAGCAGTCGCGTGCGCTCAGTCACTGCGGACCATACTCACAAACGTCCTGGAGCAGCCATCAAAGCTGGAGTACCGAAGGCTGAGAGCGACAGGTGGTGCTTTCAGATGCGTGCGTGTCGACACGGTGCAGCGGCACGTCACAGGCGAGTGACCACCTCGCCACTCGGCTCGAGAGCAAC